TACAAAGTGCTGGGTTCAAACCCAACGCGCGGCGTAACTGAGCAAAGAATTCACAGCACCGTGCTTCAGTACAACCGGCCAAAAGGATAGCAGGTCATTAACCTGCGAATGATAGAACTCTGGCATGGCATTTTGCTGTGTTGATTCCAAAGCGTGGTAAAAATGCGGTCGCACTATCTGATGCACACACTTTCTAACTACGATTCGCCTTAAGTCACCTGACAGCTGGCCAAAAACTAGCACAATGTGCAAACGTAAATTTAAATAAAATTTTAAAATTCTAATATTAAAGAATGAACAAATTTTAAATACGATGGAAAAGTGTACACAAAACTTCAATAAGTCGCTCCACTTTTTCCTGAGCCAGAAACTTCAGCTGAAGCATCTTTGAAGGTAGCATGAAAATCAAATTGACGTTACCTGACGATGGACAGCGACGAAATGCTCGGGTGATTTGGCCCACGGTGGCAGAATCACGTCATTCACGATTTCATTGTCATCCCGCTTGCCGAACTGATATTCATTTATGTTAATTAACATTTCTGGGAGGTAAAAAAATTCCGGAATTAATTCCTACAAGAGAAGGTTTGCCATGAAACGTCGTAAAAGATGGTACTTACCTTAACGTCATGAGTGTCACGCAGACAGCTCTGCCAAGATTCCTTGATACTGTGGAAAATCCTGTCCGGGTGGTCAAATTTACCACCTTGCAAATTCAAGAACATCGTTGTAAACGGTTCCTGACAAATCAACAGTCAACAGGGTTACAGTAAAATAACTGTTGTGTTTAAGACCTGATAATCACGGTAAGATACAACTTAATTTGAACATAACTTATTTAACATAAACCGATTCAGTAGTACCTCATCAGGCTCAATCTCTAACGAAATTCTAGTTCATATTTCACAGCTCTTCCTAAAGGCAAAAAACTGGTTCTATTCGCGACTGTTCACCGCATATGCTGTCGTGATTTGAACGGTAAGGGAAGTGGAAAAGCACATTTACTTACAGAATGTCAAAAGCAATTAATATAACCATGCATTAGGCATGCATCGCTAATTCGGTCGAGACATGTCATCTGTTCTATCTCTAAGATAACTGCGTAGGCATGCGATCGGAAAGGTCATAAGACTAAAACTTTCGTTATTCCAGTGCGCGATCGCAAAACGTATTATCATTTAGGACGTCATTCACACAAAACACAAATGTTTTTGAAAATCTGTACAAACAACCGTGGACGTGACACAATGCACTGCTTTCTGGATCAGATCAGCCCTTTAGGCTTCCGGCACAGAAGCCATCATCAGGGATATTTCAATAAATAACAGTGGCTTTGCTTCGGAAGCTAAAACTTCGGATTAAGAGAAAAAATCTTGCCACGTCCAAAGAAATTTGTCTTGAAAAAATGGTGAAATAACTGAAATTTGCATGAGAAAGAAGGAAGGTTCGGGGCTGCGGTGAAGTTTCCCGTGAAACTCAGCCATCTGCCATTCATGACACTGAAAGCCGCCGAACGTTATGCCGGCCCGGCCGTCGCCCCGGTTACCAAGCACCGCCCACACTTTTGGAGAACTGAGGAATACTGTGAAAAACTGCGCATCTTTAAGACATGAACCATCATTTAAGAATGGTGATCTCGTTTAAAAGCGACTAAAATTGGCCTTCTGAGACGAATCGTCTGGCTCACGGATCTTGACAAAGCTCGGAGGTCAAATATCTGAAAAGGCCTTGACGTACACCCACTGTTTTTTCAGACTGAGAAGTTACATCTGGGTTACTTTTGGCATTTCTTGCGAATGCTTCCAGGAAGGAACGCGAATCAGCGACAAGAATGGCATGGAACATGACTCGACAAACTCTGCTCCAAATTCGAGTCATTTACTGATGAGGCTCGGGACTGTCGTAGGACTTGGAACACTGGAGAATCGAAGGCTGCCGCCTTCAAGACCCGAAAGGATAAATGATCGTCGAAATTTAGTAACTGAATCATTAAACTTATGATCATCGGTATTATATAGTAAGCTTCACAGAAAAACAAAAAATTCTAATCGAGTTATCTGAGAAAACTATATTTCGCTGACAGACGTTTCCACTATGGAACTTGGTGACTTCTGACGACGTGTTACAAATTCTGACCTTCGCTAACTCTTCATACGATCCTCAGACCGCTACTCACCAAACGAATCAGCCAGTTCAACGCAAAAGCGGCCGTAGAATAATGAGTGCCGTAATGAAATGGCGGAATTTTGTCGTGCTCCCATTGAGTGTACCGCTCCTGAAAGTACGCCTGGCGTTTTTCGTTCAGCGCTCCAACGGGCTGAAACAGAGTGGTTCAAGAATTAGGTACGCAAAAACGGAACAAAAGTGATCACCTTAGACAAGTCTCTGAAATTCGCGGGTTGCTTCAGGTCGAGTTCCGCCGAATCGTAATTGGATAGTATCCACGGGTAAACCGGATATTGATTTATGTCATTGTACGTGCGACCTAAATCACATGCTACGGCGATGAAGACAGTAAAAGCACTAGAGGAAATCTTAACAGAAACTAGTGTGATACTCATAGCGAAATAGGACCAGTAGTAGGTTTAACTGTGCATTAGGCCTCTAGGAGCATGACAAAGGTGCGATAAGGCGGTGTAAATGCATTAAAATGAATTATGCATTTCTGGCGTACGAATAAATATTTTTGACAATGGGACTTGGACTGGACATGCTATAGACAACGGGTTAATGAACCATGACTGTGACGAATAAGGTACTGGCGTAGCTAATACAAGTAAAGCAAAATGCACCGACGAATTGCAGCTGCTGAAATACGGATGGAATTGTGATTTACCTCAATGAACACATAGACAACAGCAAGCAAGATGTAGGTGCAATAATCTCGCGTCGCGTGATTTAGCCCATTTGCGTTAACTAAGAGAAACTACTTATGAAAATGAGCCTGTTCCTACCTTCAATTATTTCTTCGGTTTCGGCACATCAACCTTTCTAAAACTACGGAAGCAAAAAACTTCCATAGCTCCATTTTAAAAATAAAACAATTTTTATAACATTCGCAGAACAATCTGAAGAACAGGTGCGTCTTCCAGAGATGGTTTCCAGAGAACATGGGCCGGGTTTAATTAAAGCTAAAAATTAAAATACTTCATCACTAATTTAAATGACTCTATGCGGTCATCAAGAAATGCACAACTATAACTGCTTCGGAGCGAGATAACAACAGTCTTGCACCTGAAGGTAGCAAGCCACTTATGGTTCTGGCTATACTTAGCACGGTTCCCTCTGTTTCGATGACGACGACTCCATTAGTGATTCAAAGAAAGCAAGCATATTAGCGCATTTTATCATGCTACAAAGTTTTGCAAGCTGGCATGACTTCACTGCCTTCTTCTGGCCTGTTCGTTTCACCAAATATTCATTCTGCTACGATAACCTCCAAACTTTTCCCCTTTTATCAACTAGACCCTTTCCTAAATATAACACTGTCTTCTAAGATTACAAAATGGTTCCTCATATGCAGTGTTTTGGTGCACCCGAGTGCTAATCCAATCTAAAACAACCATCTGGCTTTCGACATTTCGAAAGACTGAATAGCTTAACTGTTTCTATAACCCGGCTGTGCCCAACTACAGAAATCAGCTGTTTAAGGTAGAACTGGTTCAAAATAATAAAAAATGTATATTTATTAAATTTGCGATCACATCTTGCCCTGATTATGTCAGCTATCAGGTGGGCCAAAGCAAACCACTGTCGAAATGAAAACACAACA